AAACAAAATAAAAGTAAATTAAATTAATAGATAAAACAAACATTCTTGATGCTTTCTACTTCTATAACAAACGCATTTTTCCTAATTTTGGACTTATGCCACTTATCAATTAAGGGACTCGTATCTTCCGTACACATCTCTTATTTTGTCCATCGATCTTTTATTGGGTCACTGAAGAAATTGATTTGACGTTTTTTTGTAGACTATCTTATTGGTAATCTCAAGATCTTTTAGATTGATAAGACTTATTCTTAAATTTTTTTAACACAGGTTTAATCCTTCTCAATCGTAAATTTTAATTTATTCTTGAGCTGTTGAACCTTGATATGGGAGGTTTCCCTTTTATTGGATTGGAGGTGGCATTATTGAGGGCCTCTTCTGAGGACTCGAAAGCGTGCTGTGCCAATTGGATGGATTTCGTCCCCTTTGAGGTTTACTTTCCTAAATTTATTTTATCATCATATTGAGACTCGATTGAGTCTGAAATCCATGAGAAGAAAAAAGAAGAAATAGAAGAAGTCTAATTACACTGATAGCGAATTCGGTGAGCATAGTACATATTAAAGCCATTGTATGCCGATTTAATCTGAGCGTAAAGGTGAAATGCAAATATTTCAAATTCTAAAATTTTATTTTATCTAACAGTACAATAAAGGATGCGTTTCCGTTTTGCACTTCCAGCGATTGTAAGCGTTATGTTCTTGGTTAATATTTGACAGACAATAAAGATGAATTGATATTTACAGCCTGTGAGCGTGAAAACGGAACGTACCTACAGTGTATAATAGAAAATCGCAGTTTAACCCATTTCCATATTTACATTAAACATGCATTTTTACGTTAATCTGTGTATAACGATTTTAATATGCACCAGTGCAAGTAAAAATTTTGAAAAATTATAAATATTCTCAAAAAAGTTTTCTTTAGAGCTGCTAATAAAAGTCTTACTTTTTACATCAATTGATGTTAATTAATTTTTTTTGGTAAATCTATTTAATTAATCTTCCATTGCCATTCTTATTTTTTTGACATAAACAAAATTTCACTCTCAAATTCCTACGAAATATAAATTCCTACGAAAAATAGAAGAGTTGAGTCTGATTGTTAAAAAACTAGTTGGTAATGTAATCGGGAAATACTTTCTATTACATTATTAAATATTTAGTTTTCTAACAAAAAAGACCTAGTTATTTTTTAAAAGCAATCCTGAATTTTTCCACATTTTTTGAAAACTCGGAACAATAAAAAACTTTGGGGTGGACGGAGGGAATAAAAATATGATTGCAGACAAATTAAGAATATATTTAGGAAGAAAGAGATAGGTATAAATAATAATAATAATAATTTTTATCGCTGTATATAATGGATGATAAGAATATATATAATACGATAAAAATCGTGATGACGTCGTTATTTGTCGAGAAATATTGTATAATTATTTATTATTTTATTGTAATATATTTTTTGTTTTATTATTATTATTCTCTTTATATAATTATTAAAAAAGACTATGCCCAAAGTTTTATAGGGGAATTTGGACCTCAGATGAACAACTTTGAGACATACCTAAAATTTTAAGGTATCAAAAGAGAATTAAAAATAAGCCCAACTTTATAGGAGAGGTTTTCTGAGTGCTAGAACTATCCAAAGTTCGCTATGATGATCATGTACCACTAGTCTTATCCAATTTCTCTGCGTTCAAGGCACCTCCCCGTGGAAATGAATTTTACCAAAGACATTGAAGTAATATCTAAAATGTATTTGATACAGACAGTTCATTAAACCAGCTAAGTTCCTGGTCGCGATTCATGCCATCATGTCACAGAAATTCGGATTTGCTTGTAATGACGGCGATGCCCCTGGAGTTCGCTCTGGGGGGGAAGATGGACAAGCGGCGAATGTACCAATCGGGGTAAATCAGCCTTTGATACGGGGTCACCCCGAAGCAGCTACTAGTCGCGATGAGATCCACTGTGGGCAATGTGGAAAATATTTAAGAAATCAGTCGCATAAACATTTGTTAGCTGGGGAAGTGCTAGATTTCTTGGACCAAGAACCTAGTAGTTCCATAAGAGCTCAACACATTTAAATATATATGTCATGCCCGTTGATGCCATTATAAAAGAAAACGTACTGAAACGAGAGATGGAAACATTACAGTTAAAAATACTGAACCGCAGCCTCTTTGTCAAATCAATTAAAACCTTTTGTTTCATACTTTGAATGTCTCTCTTTCTCCTCTTCATCGATTAATATATATCACTTATAATTATTCATTTGGAATCCAAAAAAAGGTTTTAGTTGTCTTCGTCAAGATTGGACATATTCCAGATACTAGATGATTCGAGAAATAGAATTAAAGCAGTCCTACATGGTGCACAATACATGGTGTCATAATAGCGAACTTTGAACAGCTGTAGCACTCAAGGGACTCATTTTATAAAGTTGTACATATGTAACTTTTTAATCCTTTTTTTATGCTCTACAGTCCTAGCTAGGTCTTAAAATGCTGTTCAGCCGTACCCAAACTGGGCATACTCCTTTATTATAATTATAATCGAACATTTTACAATATAAAATCACAATTTTTGATTGGTCGATTTACCTATAATTACTTTTTAAGTTTAAAAATGTGTCTCTGAACACAATCCAAATATTTAATCCGCAAACAATGATACAGTCTGTTCAAGCGAGGCTATCTGATGTAAGTTATCCATAATTAATCAAATCGTAAATTCGAATAAAAGTCATTCAAAGTTGAATTCGTAGCTACATGCATTAAGATGAATGATTGCAAACGTTGTCTGAAAGTTTCTTTATGCGAAAATATAGAAATATCGTAGTGGAACTCGCGGGGAGCAGATCGTAGTCACGATTTGCGCGGGAAACGTCGTAAAGGGAGACAAGTATCAGCGCGATCAGCCGGACAACATTCCAAGACGATCGTACGCCACGTATTTCGCGCGCTCGGAGATATTTCGCTGACAATTTCTTTAACATTCATTCGTCGAATTTTTGTGACAACTTTGTTTTTCGTCCGTTCGTTTTATACGTGAAAACGGATTACGCAATTTTTGCAAAATTTTACTTTACGAATCGCCATGTTTCGAATAAATCTTTACATGTACAGCCTTGGCCAAAAATATTGGACACTTGTATCTTTTCCATCTATTTGAAATTCTTTTACCTGCATTGTCACCTATATTGATTACCGGCATTATATGCACAAGTTTAAAGGGTTCTCGAAACAAAGGAATTTACAACAAATGCCATAAATCAATTTTTGAGTTAAAACTGTAAATAATAGTTAATAAGAAGACTAATATTTTTTATCAAGGCTGTATAATAGTTGTAACGTGTAGTAATTATAATCACAATTATATAAATTTTAACTTTGTAGTATTATATATGTATACAGAATCGATAAATGACCTGAATTGCATTTAGAATATGCAATAATTTATATAATCCTCTTCCTTGTAAAGAAGGCGTAAGTTTCTTGGTTTTATTTCCCACGATGTATATAAATGAATGTAAAATTTAGACGTGGAGGAGACGCTGTTTGAGAACCACACCGACGAAGTTGATTGGCCAAATCGAATGACAGACACGAGCGTGGAGAAACTGGAAGAAACGACCAATAAGGTGGCATCGTCTTACAACGATGGACTTCGGTGTTTCTCGGCGCAACTACTTCGGCCGATATCGCCGTATTCATGACATGCACACATTGGCATAAGTCGCACATATCGGCCGCTTCGGACTGCTGCGCTGCGAAAGTAAGAATGGCTCGTCTAAGTTAGGATCAATGCGGATTAAATATGAATATCCGTCGCATCCGACGTCGAACGATGAATCGGCGACCGAAACACATGCCGCTCATGCGGATGCGTTGATTCCCGTCAGTGAACGTCATTCGCAGGAATCGACAAATTGCAACAATAAGATCTGTACTCCGTACAGATAAATGTATCGGGTTGGCCAACAGTTTCGTGCGGTTTTTGACGACAGATGGCTTCCCAGACAACGCAAAGTATCCAAAAGAAAGACATAAGATATCTCTGGCGTCTAAAAGACGACTTAAAAAAGTCTTATGTCTCAACGTTTGGATTAAATGCTCTGAAAAGTTAAGCTTTAGTCCAAATTTTGAAAGCACATACAAGCCTTGGTAAGAAATATTATATATAGGCACTTTATTAATTATTATTTA